GGAGAGTTCATGGGGGGAAATTAAGGGAGCCCATCACTCTTGACTACCGTTTGGCTAATGGGGGTTTCCCTGAATAGCCCCAAATGGTTGCCTCATGGTGGGCAGTGAACAGGACACCCTGAAGGGCTTTTCCTGCCAGGGAGAGGCTGCATTTCCTGGTCCACTGAATGGCTGCCTGGCAATGGGAACCAAACGGGGCTTCCCGTGTCCTGCAAGAGGGGCTGGAAGGGGAGGAGGAGGATTCCCACCAGGGCAAACAGGCTCCAGACAAGGGACCCAAAGGGGCTGAATGTGTCAGAGAAATCCGGCCATAAAGGAGGAAAGTCCAGCCTGGATCCAGATGCTCACCTGTCCTCAGCAGCGTCTCATTCCCATAGGACAGGTACTTCTCCAGCCATTCAATGCAGATTTCCTCCAGGTAGTCTTTCCTTCTCTGATTCAATCCTTGATCAGCATCCCGTTTCCTCTTGCTGATCTGGGCCTGGGGGACAGGAGCCACCCAAGTGCGGGTCTCCTTGTCGAAGGTGATGAAAGTCTTCCCTTCGTAGCCATACTGCTCAAACCCTCCTTTGCTCCCGTCTTTCCGTAGCTCACAGCCATACATCCACTGTATTATGTGAAAGCCTGAAATAGGGACAAGATGATGGTTTGGGGAGTCCTCAAGATAGACAGAGACCCTCCCTCCCTGCAGGGACCTTGACACAGGCACTGACACCCCCATTTCCTCCCTAGAGTTCAAGGGAAAGAAAGCCCCCATCACTAGCCGCCCTTCTCCCCTCCCTCGACCTCCCTCCCTGCATTTCCCCCCCAGGATGGAGCCCCTGAACCTCCCCAAGAAAAAGGAGAAGCTGGAAAAGACAGCAGAGGATCCCAAGGGAGACTGAGAAAAGGGGGAGTCACAGAATAAACGGAGGGACGGAGACATTTCCATCTTTCCTTCTGCTCTTCCTCTGCAGGGGAGACTCTTGGGGGGAAAGGAAGGGATCCCAGAGAGAGAGAAAAGTTCCCTGAATCTGCGGCTGCTAAGAGGGACTGAGAACCTCATGGCCTCAAAGAAGATCTGGTCAATCTACACAAAAGTTTTCAGGGATACCTGTGACCATAAATCTTGGTCTACATCCACAAATAGCACAAAGTCACAAGTGCTGGCTCCCACTTTGGGCTAACCTGAAACAAACCATGGTTTAGTGCAAAGTGGGAATGAAGCCTTGAAGGGCCACAAAGGAATATTTTCCTCAGCCACAGCAGCAAGTGGCCCAGTCTGATCTGGACACCCAAAGGGTTATTGACCTTTGAAAGGAGCTTGAAGTTTACAGGCTCTGCAAGGCCCTGGAGAAGATATTTTGACTTCAAGTGAACAGATTCTTGGATTTAAGGAGAACACTTGAGTGTTTGAAAAAAAACAAAATGGAATGTTTCTACTTCTGTTTGGCCTTGAGAGAGAGAAAGGACGCCAGAAACTCTCAAATCTAAGGAGAAACTACCTGTAAGTAGAGTTGAACTAAACTGACCAGTCCTTTCCCTCCCTTTCTGTTAGGGATACAACACCCTAGCAGAACGTGCAACGGCAGCCTAGCAGACAGAGTGTGTGTGAGATAAAGCGTTGTTGTAGCTTTACAATCAGTAGGACAGATACACTGTGCAATTAAATAGTTTTTTTATTCCAGCAAGAGTTATAGCATAGTCAAAGCAGTCCATATGTCATACACTAAGTTCAGACAGTCCGAGGGTTATTCAGTTTGCAAAGTCCAGTGTAGAAAATAGGTCGTTCAACTCACAAACAATCAGTCCAATGA